GGGTACGCGAACAAAAAAGGTTGAATACCACTGGTTTAATGAATGCAATTATTGGTCCTTTTGCAGATGACATCGGAAGTGACGTAGTACCTCGTTCGGACGAAGCTGTTCCTGACACAGGTAAATTCACGAGCAAGCTCGTCTTTTTCGATTTCCAAGTTAGTCAGGGTTAAGAGGGCTTAAAAGATCGATTTCTTGCTTATTAATGACTTTGCATCAGTTGCAGAGAGAGTTTTGACAGAGTTGTTGAGGATGATTCTTTGTGGACGAATAAAAATAAATTTTACTGTCACGTTCTGAGGTCCACAGACGGTGTTGTTACCATTTCGGCATCCGCGGAGAGATCAGGAAGTATTGAATGTAAAGATTTCCAGAATTTTCTTCATTGAACGTTCTCACTTGTTATTAGTCGTCTGTGATTCTCTCTGCCTTAACGTTATCAGGGTTAATATTACGTTAACTGGCAACTTGAGCTTGAAAAGTGATCAATCTTATTTATTGTAAATTGGAGTGGAATAAACAGCAACAGCAACTCATATTTGCGTACGTTTCAACTGATCAGGAGATAACGAGATGACTCGCTGGACCGGAATACTGAAGACGCAACATGGACGTGACCAGGTGGTGACAGAAAGTACCAGTACCAGTAGTGCCACTGTGATCAGCTCTAGGGGGACCCTGAAAGCTGATGGTACAGTCTCACTCAAGAGGGATGTCATCCAAGGTCAGTTTCATGCAAGTCGTATTCAAACTTCAAAATATTAAAAAAAAAAATTATTGCTGTTTATATAATCTTGTGAATTTATTTAAAAGAATTTTGGCTTTGCCGATAATTTGGAATTCTTATTTCTCGTCGTTTTTTTCCCCTCGTGAAAATAAAATTACAACACGTATTCAAACTTCAAAATATTAAAAAAAAAAATTATTGCTGTTTATATAATCTTGTGAATTTATTTAAAAGAATTTTGGCTTTGCCGATAATTTGGAATTCTTATTTCTCGTCGTTTTTTTCCCCTCGTGAAAATAAAATTACAACACGTATTCAAACTTCAAAATATTAAAAAAAAAAATTATTGCTGTTTATATAATCTTGTGAATTTATTTAAAAGAATTTTGGCTTTGCCGATAATTTGGAATTCTTATTTCTCGTCGTTTTTTTCCCCTCGTGAAAATAAAATTACAACACGTATTCAAACTTCAAAATATTAAAAAAAAAAATTATTGCTGTTTATATAATCTTGTGAATTTATTTAAAAGAATTTTGGCTTTGCCGATAATTTGGAATTCTTATTTCTCGTCGTTTTTTTCCCCTCGTGAAAATAAAATTACAACACGTATTCAAACTTCAAAATATTAAAAAAAAAAATTATTGCTGTTTATATAATCTTGTGAATTTATTTAAAAGAATTTTGGCTTTGCCGATAATTTGGAATTCTTATTTCTCGTCGTTTTTTTCCCCTCGTGAAAATAAAATTACAACACGTATTCAAACTTCAAAATATTAAAAAAAAAAATTATTGCTGTTTATATAATCTTGTGAATTTATTTAAAAGAATTTTGGCTTTGCCGATAATTTGGAATTCTTATTTCTCGTCGTTTTTTTCCCCTCGTGAAAATAAAATTACAACACGTATTCAAACTTCAAAATATTAAAAAAAAAAATTATTGCTGTTTATATAATCTTGTGAATTTATTTAAAAGAATTTTGGCTTTGCCGATAATTTGGAATTCTTATTTCTCGTCGTTTTTTTCCCCTCGTGAAAATAAAATTACAACACGTATTCAAACTTCAAAATATTAAAAAAAAAAATTATTGCTGTTTATATAATCTTGTGAATTTATTTAAAAGAATTTTGGCTTTGCCGATAATTTGGAATTCTTATTTCTCGTCGTTTTTTTCCCCTCGTGAAAATAAAATTACAACACGTATTCAAACTTCAAAATATTAAAAAAAAAAATTATTGCTGTTTATATAATCTTGTGAATTTATTTAAAAGAATTTTGGCTTTGCCGATAATTTGGAATTCTTATTTCTCGTCGTTTTTTTCCCCTCGTGAAAATAAAATTACAACACGTATTCAAACTTCAAAATATTAAAAAAAAAAATTATTGCTGTTTATATAATCTTGTGAATTTATTTAAAAGAATTTTGGCTTTGCCGATAATTTGGAATTCTTATTTCTCGTCGTTTTTTTCCCCTCGTGAAAATAAAATTACAACACGTATTCAAACTTCAAAATATTAAAAAAAAAAATTATTGCTGTTTATATAATCTTGTGAATTTATTTAAAAGAATTTTGGCTTTGCCGATAATTTGGAATTCTTATTTCTCGTCGTTTTTTTCCCCTCGTGAAAATAAAATTACAACACGTATTCAAACTTCAAAATATTAAAAAAAAAAATTATTGCTGTTTATATAATCTTGTGAATTTATTTAAAAGAATTTTGGCTTTGCCGATAATTTGGAATTCTTATTTCTCGTCGTTTTTTTCCCCTCGTGAAAATAAAATTACAACACGTATTCAAACTTCAAAATATTAAAAAAAAAAATTATTGCTGTTTATATAATCTTGTGAATTTATTTAAAAGAATTTTGGCTTTGCCGATAATTTGGAATTCTTATTTCTCGTCGTTTTTTTCCCCTCGTGAAAATAAAATTACAACACGTATTCAAACTTCAAAATATTAAAAAAAAAAATTATTGCTGTTTATATAATCTTGTGAATTTATTTAAAAGAATTTTGGCTTTGCCGATAATTTGGAATTCTTATTTCTCGTCGTTTTTTTCCCCTCGTGAAAATAAAATTACAACACGTATTCAAACTTCAAAATATTAAAAAAAAAAATTATTGCTGTTTATATAATCTTGTGAATTTATTTAAAAGAATTTTGGCTTTGCCGATAATTTGGAATTCTTATTTCTCGTCGTTTTTTTCCCCTCGTGAAAATAAAATTACAACACGTATTCAAACTTCAAAATATTAAAAAAAAAAATTATTGCTGTTTATATAATCTTGTGAATTTATTTAAAAGAATTTTGGCTTTGCCGATAATTTGGAATTCTTATTTCTCGTCGTTTTTTTCCCCTCGTGAAAATAAAATTACAACACGTATTCAAACTTCAAAATATTAAAAAAAAAAATTATTGCTGTTTATATAATCTTGTGAATTTATTTAAAAGAATTTTGGCTTTGCCGATAATTTGGAATTCTTATTTCTCGTCGTTTTTTTCCCCTCGTGAAAATAAAATTACAACACGTATTCAAACTTCAAAATATTAAAAAAAAAAATTATTGCTGTTTATATAATCTTGTGAATTTATTTAAAAGAATTTTGGCTTTGCCGATAATTTGGAATTCTTATTTCTCGTCGTTTTTTTCCCCTCGTGAAAATAAAATTACAACACGTATTCAAACTTCAAAATATTAAAAAAAAAAATTATTGCTGTTTATATAATCTTGTGAATTTATTTAAAAGAATTTTGGCTTTGCCGATAATTTGGAATTCTTATTTCTCGTCGTTTTTTTCCCCTCGTGAAAATAAAATTACAACACGTATTCAAACTTCAAAATATTAAAAAAAAAAAATTATTGCTGTTTATATAATCTTGTGAATTTATTTAAAAGAATTTTGGCTTTGCCGATAATTTGGAATTCTTATTTCTCGTCGTTTTTTTCCCCTCGTGAAAATAAAATTACAACACGTATTCAAACTTCAAAATATTAAAAAAAAAAAATTATTGCTGTTTATATAATCTTGTGAATTTATTTAAAAGAATTTTGGCTTTGCCGATAATTTGGAATTCTTATTTCTCGTCGTTTTTTTCCCCTCGTGAAAATAAAATTACAACACGTATTCAAACTTCAAAATATTAAAATATTTATTTAATCGCGTCTTAAAAATATTATATTGCGTTGGGTATATTAATGAATTGCCATTATAACAGTTCTATTTTATAAGTACGTCATTATGAATTTTAGATGAGGGACGAGTGAGATGAAATGCGTGCGATTCTAGTTTTAAGAATAATAAACCTTCCTGGATTTCCCATGGTATTTGGCAGGAGGTCTGGTCCGTACGGTATTGAAGGTTGAGTTATGCCATTCTTGCTGTACATCAAATATACGATGGTCGTGTTACGGCACTTACGTCTTCTTGAACTCTATAATTTTATTAAGTTTTGCCATTTATTTTATTGGACCTTGAGAACAGTTATTTTTTGTGTATTTGTGTGCTTTTAATGAATTAAAAAAAGATCTGGGTGGAACGGCAGTTCCGCTTGCAGTAAAAGACACATGTGTTCAGACTATGTAAACATTATTTTTCTTCAAGTGCTGCGTCTTATTGGTCAGGCCCATTGCCAAGGACCGACTCTGGAAATAACTGTGCAGACTACGGCCACTGCTGGCCAGCTAGTGGGGAGTCCTATTGAATCAAGAGTGGTACATATATTTGTAACGCAGCATCTTCCTTATCTAGTTTAATTTCATTACTTACTCGTTTTAT